GAGATGAGGGGGGAAAAAGTGCCTGCAATTCAAAGTTGACGCTCAATTGTCAGCTCATCTTCTTCCTTCTTCTCTCTGGCTTCAAATCATCATCGCGATCATCTTCCAGAAACCTGAGGTAAGTAACCTTATTCCTTTCAGGCTATGAATTGGTTTTTTATTAAAACAAAACAAAAATTTCTTCACTTTTGTTTCTCCTTGTTTCGCTATGATTAGGGTTTCCATATATTCAGTGGCTATTTTCAAACCAGTCAGATTCTTTACTTTTTTGAAGCTAATAATGCTGGATGCAGGAGAAGGTAATGGAGAGAGAAGGTGGAAGGCCAAAGGATGTTGAAGTGTGGAAACACGTCACTGTGTTGGAGGGGAAGAAGAAGAAAGTAAAGTGTAATCACTGTGGATATGTCTTTGCAGCAAGTGCTAATCGAATCAAATCTCACATTAATCAAATTCCGGGTAAGGGTATTCGACCGTGTAATCCTGATGATTCCGACAAAGGCACCTGCGAGAACCAAAATCTCCTTAATTCACAAGGTATGAAATAATAAACTATTTCTTATATCTAGAACCAGATGTAGCATTATTTTAAATTGATTGAAGAATGAGATCTTGGTATCTTGAAATGGTGTTATTAAGACTCTGATATATGAATAGCATAAGTATATTTTGTTATATTCTTCTCATCGTGAATATAAATGAAATGAAACATTACTAGTGTGTGAAATTAATTAATGGACCTCATAAGTGTTCTAGATTATATTAATTAATTGTGGATTATAATGAGTAGTATGTTAATTCTAAATAAGATATTCTTCAATGGTTTTTACCATATATTAGGGTGAGGAATGATTCATGTGAACTAAGTGGGAGATAATTTAATGGGAAAATCTGATAGGACCCTCTATAGTAACAGGACATAAAAAGCTTAGTAATAGATAATGAAGACAGGAGTAAGTGAAACTACAGTATTACTGCAAAACTATATCAGATTACCATAGGTGGGATGATTTAAGACACACGCATCACTCTCTTACGCTCAAATACACAAACAACAATTAACTAACAGCTACAAAGCCAGAAGAAACAGAGCACAGTCCACAATACGATGATGCTACACATTCAAACAGAACAAGGTTGCCAATCTTTCGAGAGGTTGGCTCTCCTTCCCGAAGCTTGAAGTTTAATTCAAAATTATAGGCCAAAAAAGATGGCTTCGCACTCCCTAAAACAACCCTCTCGTAGCCTTTGACCATAGCCGCCCTACAGCTACCCCATTTTCTACTTCTTTCTTCAAAAATAGAAAGTCAAAGTTTTGACCCACCAGAAGAATATTTTTCTTTTTCATGTGTTTTCCTAATTTTTTTTAAAGTAATCTTAACATCTAGGAGGTACTAAGAAAGGAATGTAGTTAATCACCAAAAAGTCTTACAAAAGTGAGTAGCATGCAATAACAAGTTTTGATATTGGATATGACAACACGTCCAATGATGCTGCTCACTTGTTTTCAAACTTTTTGGTGATTATATTTTTTTGGGACTTCATATTAATTTTTCCTAATTTGATAGCATAGCCACGATTAATTCATGGTTAAGAAGTTTGAATTTGTGTTGTGACTTTTGAAACTATTAATGTACTAAGTGCGTTATTATGCATGAAACAGGTTTACTAACAATGGATAGACCAAGAGATTATAACGGACTCAATGAAAGAATGGTTGATTGTTACATGTCCCCCAAAACAATGTGGGAAGGGATAAAGGCTCTCCAACAAAAAAACATCGACACAAAAGCTATGCATCATCAAGAGAGGATTAAAGTCGGCCCTTTTCATGTTTCCAATATTGTGAATGAACCTGATTTACGGCTGATACAATATGTGTTTGAGAATTCGAGGTTAGATTCATATGCTTGTAACTATATGATTAGTGTTTATGTTTGTGTGTGTTTTTGTATTTTAATCTGAAGCATAGTTAAATCACTCACCTTATATGTTCTTTAGTGAGAGGTGTACACCTTTTCGGTCATCACATTTAGATCTGCCTCAATCTCAATTGATTACACTTAAACCACAAACTCATTTGGATTCGGGGGTGAGTATTTGCTTATACGTTTATTCTATATAGTTTGTTATTATTAAGCAAGGTCTTGATTATGTTATTGTTCAATTTTCATGTTTTCTTAGATAATAGATGTTTTTGCCGATATCTTGACCGAATCTGAGAGAAGGAAGAAAAGTAAACCTGTAAATTGGTATCTTCCCATGATGTTTTCGGTGATTGCTTATTCCCTTTTCAATTTGATGATATATGTTTGATATTGTTAGTTCTTGACTCTAAAACAATCTCATCGATCAGAATATTTAGTTGTTCTTTTGTGATGTGATTAAAGAGTGCAGCACTCAATAGTGATGCAAGTTCCTTCCTTGACTTTGTTGAACGGCAAAAATTGAGAGAGAACTTCATGTTTGATGACTTGAAAGATTGTGAGAAGGTATAATCTTTTGTCTAGTTGTAATTGACATTTTATTCATAATAACGTTTTTTTTTTTGGGCTCCATGTCAATTTGATTCATTTGATCACGCATGGCAGATATTTATCCCCGTACATGTCGAAAAGGATTCAAGTGGACATTATTATTTATACATTATTCATATGAAGAATCAAGAAATTGAGATATGGGATTCTCTCTGTGATCAATTCATAGATAAAGCTAAACGTGACCAAACAACACAGAAATTGGTAAGCATCATAAATATATGATATTTATATAATTAATATGTATAGACTGATCTTTTAATTCTTTAGAATTATTATTATTATTTTTTTTTTTGTAGTTGCTTGCCATGGATAGACTCTTCGAGGAAGGTAAGTTCAAAGAATTTTACTCGAGAATGATGAGAAATATTCCGTTACAGCCTAATGGGTGAGTTTAAGAATTTTTTTATTAAAAAATTATCCTCTTAATTAATTAAAACATGCGTTCAACTGTATCCTGTTTCTTTAATATGTAGGCATGATTGTGGTATATTTGTTATTAATTATATGCAACAATTGCATAATTATGTGAGGGAAAAGCCTTTATTTCAGGTACATTCTCTTGCATGGTTTTTACTTTTAATGATTTATTTGGTACGAAGGAAATAAAGGAGAAGAGAGGAGAGAAAAAATTTCGATTAGCTCATCAAAATTTTAGAACGCCACTTCTTTAATTTTATAAAGCCACTTCTTTTTTATTTTACATATTTTCTGTATCAAAATTTTAGAATGCCACTTCCTTAGCCTTTCAAATTAAGCTCATCAAAACTTTTCCTCCTATCCCCTCCAATTCCTAATACCAATCATAGGGTAAATGTCTTATATACACACATGCACAGCACATGTACATGGATGTACAAACACTCCTAGTCATATAAATGTTACAAACCAAATGCAGTTTGACAGCAATGAAGAAAGACTGAATTTGGTATTAAAGTTGCTCAAGAGTGACTTGAACCGAGAAAAAGAAACAGTAAATGCTGAAGTAGCAAGTTGGCACTCTGCACAAGTGGAAAGTGAAAGTGAAAGTTCTTGTGGAATTGAAAGAGAAGGGGTTGATTCTGATAATAAAGTCAAGAGAAATAATGTTGGTTTCAAAACAGGTGCATGCTTTAACTTCAACTATTTACAGCCCTCTTTATTTGTAATATATATATATATATATATATATATATATATAATTTATATAGTTGCTCTATCGTGCCTTGATTTAAGTAGTTGTTGCTATGATCACCTCATAATTATTGTTTGTTTCTAGGATATTTAAAAAATGGACACCAAAATGCATGCAATATATTGAATTTATTTATATTTTATTCTTCTCACTTATTACATTGAAATAAATACTTAACTCCTATTGTGACTTCATTTTTTTTCTCATTGCTAGAATGTGTTAAAGATTATATATGGCCAACAACTGATTTAGTGGTATAAGACCTAGTTTGTAGTTCAATTAACTGAATACTAAGGAACAAAGAGGTAGTAATTTTAGCACAAATATAATTAACAAAATATAATTAGCATATTAAACCCAAAATATAATGCATTTGACCCTAACGAGTCTTCTATGCGTAATACTTTGTTAAGCCCTTTAAATTCAAGTTTTCAAGCCCAAAATATGTTCAACATCTCTATTTTCAACACAAATTAAATTAATGACGTCCTGGAAATTTTCATTCAGACCTGTTGATCCAATTGCTAGTTACTTTGTCAAAGTCTATTATATTAGTCCATTTAATACTTTTTTAATTCTTTTTCGATCTTGTTCCCGTGATTAAACCACGTAGAATTTGCAAATGATTATTTGAAGTTGAAGAAACATTGCTTAACGTTGAAGAGTCAGCTTGATGTTACTCCTCAGTGTAAATCATGGAAGGATATAAGCTTAGGCGAAGGAGATTTTGGTTTGGACCATACTATTAGCAATGTGATGATTGGTGCATATCTCCATCAAAACTTCACCTCCTTTTCTTACATGGATATCATTCTAGTTTGCAGAGTATAGTTACATGAACATTACTACTGTATATGTTTTTTTTTAAATTTTTCTTTAATTAAATTTTTAAATATTTGTTTATCTTTAAATCAATATAAATCTATCTTTACAATCACTCTGTTTTTTGCCTTTATTTCACTTTGTTGTTTGGATTTAAGTCTCAACACTTCATTTTTGAGATAAACAAACTTGAATCCTTGCCAAGAAAAAAGCTTATGCCCGTTTTGAACTTAAATTTAATTGATCTATTTTGCAATAATACTTTTATTTTCTGGGTTTCTTTCTATATTTGTCTTTTGTTTTCCTTTTTGGGTCTCATTTCTTCATCATGCGGGGCATCTTCAGGTTCTGGTTGGTCGTCTCTGTCTCACAACTCTGAATCAGAGGAAGATTTGCAGGTTCTGATGGATCTGGGGAAGAGGAAGAGGAAGAGGATGATATCGAATCGCAAGGTAGCAAGGCAACGTCGAATGAGAATGCAGAAGCATCTGGAGGATCTGGGGGCTCAGGTGGCACAGCTCAAGAAAGAGCCTCCCCAAATACTCACGAGCGCCAATGGCAGCCCGGAACATTACTCCAGTGTTCACCATGAAATCTCTGCTCTTCGAGCTCAAGTGACTGATCTGTGCGCCAAGGTCGAATCTCTCAACAAAAGAATCAACCACTTGACTGCCACCAACAATGCAGCTTCTGCAAAGCCCTCCTATGACCTCCCTGACTTCAATCGATTTACAGTTCCTCCAACCTGGTTCCCAGATTACCCCCCTCTGGATCTCTTTTTGAAAGAATTTGATGGAGGTGGAAGTGGAACTGGGAGTGGTGTTGCAAGTGGAAGTGGAATTGGAAGTGGGAGTGAGTTTTAAAGTTGTTTGGTATGTTAACAGAAGTATCATATGATTTTAAATTTGTATATGTATGTTCAAGATAAAAAGATCAAAAGGGAAAAACAAACTCTCTTCAGTCATCATCTTCATCGTTCCTATCCTAGAAATGGAACATCCACCGTCGAAAATCAAACTTAAAACAAATAATAAAAAAAATCATCTTCCTTTCTTGCAGTTCAAAAACATCTCACCATGAACGTGCTCTTGTTATTCGAAATCTGGTAGGGAAGACTTCATCGCTGCCTTCTGGAAACTCAGATTCTCATCCCTATGATGATATTCCTTCATTGAACGATGACTCACGGCACCCACAATGACTGCTTTTACGGTCGATTTATAGATCCACCGATACACGAGACCTTGAAATTTCACGGAACAAGAGAAGAAAGAGAGGGCAAAGAGAGAAAATTTCAGACACAAATGGAGATGGCAAAAAGAAGTCGACACGGGGAACCGAGTTCCATCATTTGGGTTCCACAAGAATCGGCTTCCTTCTTACCAAACGGCCCAATTTTTCACTTCTCATCCCAGTTCCAATTTTAAGGCATCACTTCCATGCCACTAAATGTAGCATTAAATTCACACATATAGATTCACAGAATTCCACCTTTTTTTGGATTTTTAGGTTGACAACGTTGCTAACTCTTTGAAATCATTCTTTTATTGTGATTGTCATTAAATGGGTCATATTCAAACTCCATTATCACCGTATCCTACGTCGCCGTTGCCATTTATTTTATTACTTAATAAAACAATGAACCATCTATTATTAGCATGACCTGAGACATATAAAATTTATTTAGTCTAAGAAGCCAAAAGGAAAGGCTCTAGTAAAAATCAATTAGAGAAAAAACAAAAATCAAAAATCAAAACGCAAGCCAAACAACTCAAAATATTTTAAATAATAAAAAAAAGACTAAAGTATACATTTGGTTTTTTAACTTTGTATAAGGTTTTAATTTGATCCTTTAACTTTAAAAAGCATACATTTGGTCCTTTAACCCTAAAATCATTAGGTTTTAATGATGATTTTTTTTGTAACAATCATGAATATTTTGAAAATTAAACTTAATATGTTAGCATTTGATAATATTTTATGAACATTTAAGATCTTAATGTCATCATTTTTTAAAAAAATTTTAGGGTTAAAGAACTAAAAATATACTTTTTAAAGTTAAGGAACCAAATTGAAATATTGTACAAAGTTATAAGACCAAATGTATCTTTTAGACATGAAATAAGAAATAAAAGAAAACCACTAATTTTAACGAGAACCCCAGAATGAATCACAAATCACAGGTAACACAATATCTCTCACAAACACACAAATTCACAAATTACATCAACCAACAGAAAATCATGACAAGAACCAACCACATTTCAAACCTATTTTAATAGAAGGAAAAGAGAAAACGAGGGTAAATGAATGAAAGTTTAGAACTTGCTTAATTAGACTATGATCTCCGTAGAAGTTGTGAGAGACTGAACAACAAACACCTAAGGGGGCTAGACTACTGATAATCTCTTAAAATTCCTACTGAGTTAAGCTGATTTAGCGCTCTTTTATTGGGTTTGAAAGTCAATTTTGCAGGAAACAAAGCCTGAGGAGAGTAAAGAATGGAGAAAAGCTGAAAAGAAGTCAGTCGCTGCGGCATCTGGGAGAAAACGCCGCGGCGGCTCAAACAGAAAGGGAGGAGTGCGTCTATGTAAAAGGCGCCGCGGCGCCTTACTAAATCCGCCGCAGCGCCCAAGCTGTGTCGGAGGAAGCCTGTTCGGTATAATCTGCCGCGGCCGATTGTCACATGAGTCGCGGCGCCGAAGCCTCGAAGGAAAGTCATTCTGTAATAGGCGCCGCGGCGTCTGACCCCTCGCAGCTGTGCTTTTTATATGGTAACTTAAAAAATTAGGGCGTATAGAGGTGGATACTCGGTTTTTCTGGGGGACTTCGACTTTGGAGCAATTTTAGAGGCTGGCTCTGCTAGGGTTTGGAGTTTTGGAGGCTTGGAACCTTTGGGCTTGAAGCTAGAAGAAATTCGAAGCTTGTAACTTGAATTTTTTGGGTTTTCTTCTTCTTCCCTTCTTGTTTCTGCCATGACTACTAGCTACTCTTATAGTTATAGTTCTTTACTCGATATGTATAGCTATATCTGTTTTTCTAGGATTATTTTGATCTATTGTATGGATTGAGACTTGGTTTTACTATCTCTTGAGTGTTAATGATGATGTTCAGTTGTTTTTACTTTGAGCTTAATGCTTCCTTTTGTCTGGCCATCATTTGGATTGCTTGACTGATTAGTCTAACTTGAGAAAGTTTAACTAATTCGTGAACTTTGGTAAAAACATGCTAGTCCAAAAATTTAATTAAGTAAATAGATGGTTTGTCGATAGAGCAGAGATGTATCTGTTGACCTAGCATAGACTAAATGGGTTTTGGTTTTTAAAGTGCAACCTTTTCAAACAAGTGCAAGAGATTGCTGTGTTTTAATTGTGATTGCAAACATTTGGTTTTGACTTGAGAAAGCTTAATCAATTCTGCAAATCCAGGCTAACTAAACTTATTGTAAAGTACTACTTGAGAAGTAATTAATCCAGTTTCATGAAGTACTTTAGTGAAGAATAACCCTAGTCTCTTAATTGTTTCAAGGTCGATTTGATTTTATACTGCTTTAAACCATTGTTTTCCTAATTTCATTTCACAAACTCTTTTACAACAATTGTTTCACTTAACCTAATCAAATACACAATTATGATTTTTAACTCATCTAGCCTTAGTCTCTGAGGGAACGATACTTTTTATATTACTTGCGACCCGTCCACTTGCGGTTAAGTTAATCGGTAAACAAGTTTTTGGCGCCGTTGCTGGGGACTAACGGCGAGAGTGTTTGAGGTTGATTGTCCTTATTGTGTGATTGGCTACGCTTAAGTTTCAGTTAGCATTTGTAGTGGTTATAGGTAGTAGTAGTATTTATTTCATTCATTTCTCTTGATAAGTTTGATACTTTTGTTTTTGATTTGAATGTGCAGGTAACCCCTGACGCATGCAAGGAAGACTGGAAGTTATTGTGGAAGAAGTTACTGAAGAAGAATCCAGGATGGGAGAAACTGAAAACACACCGGAGATTCAACAACAACCTCAGTTACTTCCACTACCACCACCTGAATCAAAATCAGAAGAAAACATGGCGGAGGAAGATGAGAACGACGTGTACACCCTGGATGACTATTTGGATAAAGAAGGGCAAACTTTTCACTCAAGTATCCGTCTACTAGACATTCAAGCTAGGAATTTTGAAATCAAGCCCGTTATGATTCAACTACTGGGGATGATCGGTACTTTTGAAGGAAATTTTAATGACGATCCAAATGAGCATTTGACCAAGTTTATAGAGGTTTGTGAGAACTTCAAACAAAATAGGGTTACTAAAGATGCACTGCGATTGAGATTGTTCCTCATGTCGTTATCTCACAAGGCAAAAACGTGGTTGAATTCTTTACCAGAACACTCCATTAAGACTTGGGATGATCTTGTATCTAAGTTCAAGGCCAGATTTATTCCAAGGGGTAAACATGCTACATTAAGGGGTGAATTGCTTTCTTTCGAGCAGCATCCGGATGAGTTATTCTACGAGGCTTGAGAAAGATTCAAGGATATGTGGAGAAATTGTTCAAATCATGAGCAAAAGAAATATGTTCTAATGGAAGCCTTATGGAATGGGTTGAATGATCAGACAGTGACAATGCTGAATACTGCTTCAAACGAAGGAATCGGAAAGATGAAGGTAAATGAGCTATATGAACTGTATGAAGAGGTGGCATCTAGCACTATGCAACAGTATAACAAGAGAAGGTAAAGTTCTGGGAGATATAAGGAGCCTAGTTCTTCATCACAAGGGATATTGCATCGCAACTTGAAGCAATATCTAAGAGATTTGACAATCTGGAATTGCAGATTAAGAAAGGAAATGCTGCAAGAGTTCATGCACTTCAGGCTCCGGGATACACTTGTGACCATTGTAATGAGGAATATCATTCTGATCAATGCCCATACACTTTGGAGACAGTCAATTATATGAATAATGCACAGTGAAGACCACAAGGAAGCCCTTACTCTCAAACTTACAATCCAAATTTGAGAAATCATCCAAATTTCTCTTGGCGAAATGGGCCAAGTTTGAATCCGCCACAAATATTACCATCTGGTGCTAAACAAATGGGCCCCCTGGTTTTCATGGTCAATCGCAGCAACATCAATTGCAACAGCAGCATCCTCAAAAAGAAGAATCCAAAATTGAGAAGATGTTTGCTCAACTATTAGCAAATCAAGAATCTGCAAGGGCTGAGAATAAGGCAACATTTTCTCTCCATGAAACTGCCATAAAGAATCTCGAGGTTCAAATGGGTCAACTGGCTTCACAAATGAATGTACTCACAAGAAACAGCTTACCAAGTGATACCATTCCCAATCCAAAAAGGGATGGTAATGAAGAGTGCAAAGCTATCAGTTTGAGAAGTGGAAAGCAACTACCTGACATTCAGAGGCCTAGTAAGACCAGCAAGGACATCACTAACAGTATGGTGACTGACCTTAATACAAATGAGCTTTCAGAAGAAGGTGGTGTAGTAGAAGAGGAAGAAACCAAGAAAAGGAAACAAACAGAAGAAAATCTCAATGATGTGGTTCGAAGAAAGAATGTAGAGGGTGAAATGGTTGATGATAAAAAGAGGAAGACAACTCCCCCTCCTGCTACACAGATGCCGCCACTTCCCTTTCCTCAAAGGTTCAGGAAGAAGGATGAAGATGTTCAATTCAAGAAATTTGTGGACATGTTTAAGCAATTACACATCAACATCCCGTTTGCTGAAGCATTAGAGTAGATGCCTAAGTATGCTAAGTTTCTTAAGGATGTTCTCTCCAAGAAGAAGAGATTTGGTGAATTTGAAACACTAGCCCTGACTGAAGATTGTAGTGTCATCTTGTAGCGAAAACTCCCACCCAAATTGAGAGATCCAGGCATTTTTTATATTCCATGCAACATAGGCAAACACTTCAATGGAAAAGCCCTATGCGATTTGGGAGCAAGTGTTAACTTGATGCCTCTAGCTGTATTTAATCGATTGAATTTGGGTGAAGCTAGGCCAACAACTGTTACATTGCTTTTTGCTGACAGAAGTATCTCATATCCAAAAGGGATTATAGAAGATGTCTTGGTGAAGGTAGATAAATTCATATTCCCAGCCGATTTCATTGTGTTAGACTGTGAGGTAGATTGGAATATCCCCATTATTTTGGGACGGCCATTCTTAGCAACCGCAAGAACCCTTATTGACATAGAAAAGGGTGAGATCACCATGCGAATAAATGATGAGAAGGTGATATTCAACATGAATCAAGCCTTGAAGTTTCCAGATGATTCTGCTCACTGTAATTGTATCGATGTGATTGACACTACAGTGCAAGAGGAGTTGATTAACTCTTTGACCAAAGACCCATTAGAAGCATTGTTGATTGGAGAAACAAGTAGTATTGATGGCAAGGTTGAAGCTTATGCAGAAATGATGAGTATTGAAGCATTTCCGTATCGAAAAGCTAAGACTTTTAAGCCTCTGGATGTGACTAGTGCTTTAAGCTCTCCTCTAAAGCCTTCTGTGGATGAACCGCCGGTGTTGGAGTTGAAGACTTTACCATCACATCTCAAGTATGCCTACTTGGGTAATTACTACTTTACCTGTGATCGTTTCTTCTAAGTTGTCCACGTTGCAAGAAGAGAAACTGTTAAGGGTCTTGAGACACCACAAGAAAGCTATTGGGTGGTCTATAGCTGACATCAAAGGGATCAACCCTTCTATTTGTATGCAAAAGATTTTATTAGAGGATGGTCACAAACCTTCCATTGAGCATCAAAGGAGATTAAACCCGGTTATGAAAGAGGTAGTTAAGAAAGAGATCCTTAAATGGCTTTCTGCTGGCATAGTCTACCCTATTTCTGATAGTTCATAGGTGAGCCCAGTTCAATGCGTCCCTAAAAAAGGTGGTATAACTGTAGTGGCTAACACCCGAAATGAGCTAGTTCCAACTCGTACTATGACTGGGTGGAGAATTTGCATGGACTATCGAAAGTTAAATGTAGCAACCAGAAAAGACCATTTCCCGCTGCCATTTATTGATCAGATGTTAGATAAACTTGCTGGGCAAGAATTCTTTTGTTTCTTGGATGGGCATTCAGGATACAACCAAATTGTAATAGCCCCAGAAGATCAAGAGAAAACAATCTTTACTTGTCCATATGGCACGTTTGCTTTCAAAAGAATGCCATTTGGTCTTTGCAATGCTCCAGCAACATTCCAAAGATGCATGATGGCCATCTTTGCTGACATGATTGAGAAAACAATTGAAGTGTTCATGGATGACTTCTCTATTTTTGGAGATTCTTTTGATTGTTGCTTAGATAATTTGGCGGCTGTTCTGCAACGATGTGAAGAAACTAATTTGGTTTTGAATTGGGAAAAATGTCACTTCATGGTGCAAGAGGGCATTGTCCTTGGTCATCGAGTATCCAAACAAGGCCTAGAAGTTGACAAGGCAAAGGTATCTGTTATTGAGCAATTGCCTCCACCAACAAGTGTTAAGGGTATTAGAAGTTTCTTGGGTCACGCGGGATTCTACCATCGTTTCATTAAAGATTTCTCTAAAATCACTAAGCCTTTGTGCAATTTGTTGGAGAAAGATAGGGAGTTCAAGTTTGATGACGCTTGTATGAACTCTTTTGAAGAATTAAAGAAGAAGCTCACCTCAGCACCAATTTTAGTGGCACCTAATTGGGAGCTACCATTCATCATTATGGCAGATGCTAGTGATTTTGCCGTTGGAGCAGTTCTAGGACAAAAAGTAGAAAAGGTCTTCCATCCCATCTACTATGCTAGTAAAACCTTGGATGATGCCCAACTTAACTACACTACTACAGAGAAAGAATTGCTTGCAGTGGTGTTTGCTTGTGAGAAATTCCGGTCTTATATTGTAGGCACCAAAGTGACTATCTATACAGACCACTCTGCCCTAAAGTACCTGTTTACCAAGAAAGATTCCAAAGCACGCATGATTTGATGGGTCCTTTTGCTTCAAGAATTTGACTTGGAAATTGTTGATAGGAAAGGCACTGAGAACCAAGTGGCCGATCATCTATCTCGATTAAGTAGTGAAGCTCAACATGATCATTATCAAGAGATCAATGCAGCTTTTCCTGATGAATGCTTGTTCTTTGTGGATAACTCAACTACTCCATGGTATGCAGATCTGGTTAATTATATGGTTTGTGGAACTCTGCCACTAGACCTTAACTCCCATCAAAAGAGGAAATTTTTTCACGATGCAAAGATGTACTTTTGGGAAGAACCTTACTTGTTCAAAAGATGTGCCAATCAGATGATAAGAAGATGTGTTCCGGAAGTTGAGCAGCAAGATATTCTAGAGTGTTGCCACTCTTCAGCTTATGGTGGGCACTTTAGAGGAGAGAAAACGGCTGCCAAAGTCCTTCAAAGTGGTTTTTATTGGCCTTCACTATTTAAAGATGCATATGCCTTTGTGATCCGATGTAATCGGTGTCAACGAGTGGGAAACATATCAAGAAGGAATGAAATGCCTCTGAATAATATTCTGGAAGTTAAACTCTTTAATGTCTGGGGAATTGACTTCATGGGCCCATTTCCAAAGTCTCTTAATCAAGAGTACATTCTGGTTGCTGTGGACTATGTCTCAAATGGGTTGAAGCTACTGCATGTGTATCCAGTGATGCTAAAACGGTGATCAAATTCTTAAAGAAAAACATCTTCACGAGATTTGGAGCACCTCGGGCTATTATTAGTGATGGCGTTCTCACTTTTGCAATCACCAATTTCAAGCTCTGATGAAGAAATATGGTGTAAAGCACAGGGTAACTTTGGCTTATCATCCTCAGTCAAATGGCCAAGCAGAAATATCCAACCGAGAGATCAAAAGCATTCTTGAGAAGTAGTAGGTGCAACAAGAAAAGATTGGTCATTAAAATTGGATGATGCTTTTGGGCCCACAGGACAGCATATAAAACTCCGATTGGGATGTCTCCCTATCGATTGGTGTTTGGAAAAGCATGTCATTTGCCTGTAGAATTGGAACATGGAGCTTACTGGGCCATAAAAAAGCTCAACTTTGACTTTCAAGCTGCTGGTGCAAAAAGGCTCCTTCAACTGAATGAATTGGAGGAATTTCGCCTTAATGCCTATGAAGTGCAAGGCTCTATAAGGAACAGACCAAGAAGTATCATGATCAAAAAATTATCCCAAGGTCTTTGAAGCGGGGCAAAAGGTGTTACTTCATAATTCAAAATTGAGATTATTTCCGGGCAAACTCAAATCACGCTGGTCAGGGCCATTGTGTACAAGCTACTAACCATGGTGCGGTGGAGCTGGAAAATGAAAAGGGTGAAAGATTTCATGCAAATGGCCATCGTTTGAAGCATTATTGGGGTGGAAAGGTGGATCGTCAAGTCTCTACGATCTACTTTGCTGAACAATCATAACAGAGCTGAAGAGTCAGGCTGAAGACTATAAACCAAGCGCTACTTGGGAGGCAACCCAAGCTCTAAACTTGCCTTTGATGTGTTTCTTTTATTTCAGTTTTGTTTTAGTAGATTTACGTTTGATCTTTGTTTTTGTAGGCCTTTTGGTTTATTCCTCAAACTTTGGAGCTTAGCAGGAGTGGTTGATTTCTAATTAGCGCAACCAGGGAAGTGCACCTAACCTTAATCTCCAGCAGTGGCCTTGACCTTGATTGGTTGAATTTGTGTTAAATTGAGGCTTGTGGGTTTTGCTTTTATGTGGTTGTTTGTGTTGTGTTTGTTTTTATGCTTGTGCTTGTGTTTAGTCTTGTTTTATTATGTGTAGGGTGTTTGATTGTGGTAGGTCTAGTCTGTGTTTATTAATTTTCCATGTAGGCCTTCTCTGTGTGAG